CATGGGCAGGGGAGACGGTCTCAGCGTTGCTGCTGGGGGGACTTTTGCCGCTTGCCTGAGTTGCTGGTTTGCCAACAGCTGTGTGCAGCTGCTCCCTGCAGCCTGGCAAAGACATGCGCTGGTGGTGCGACCGCAGGTGTGTGTGGCTGGGTGCCTGTGCATGCATGGACGTGCATTTGCTTATGGCCATCTAGTGGGCATTTCAGCATGCACTGCTTTGGGCTGGGACCATCTTGTGCTTCATAAAGCTTGTCACTTGAAAGACCTCTGCTGAAATGCTGTGTTAAAGGCAGTATGTGAGATTGATGAAGCAAAAATTCCCCATTGTCTAGCCTGGAATTTTCCTTATAGGAGGCAAGGAATGCTTGGGCAGTGGAAACAAACAAACAACACAACAAAACCTCCAACACTTTTTTATTAGAAAGACAAAAAAGGCCACTACCAATTCTCCTGGCTGTGTACCCAGGACTGGACAGTAGCAGCCAAGAAAATTAGTGTAACAGTGAAAATTTTAGGTTGAAAATACACAGTAACACCCTAAATGCCTTAAAACAACCCTTTGCTAATTCAGATTCCTGGCTCATGGCCAACCTCAGGGAGATTTCTGTCTTTAGCAGACAATGTTTCAGGGCCTGATTAGGTAAACAAACTAACATGATGAATAGGGGTGATAAGGATACATTGAGTCTCATGTCCCTTTGCAAAATGAGAGATTCCTCCTACTACAGTTCACTCTTCTGCGTCATCAATAATTTGAAGAAGTATCAGTTATCATTGGTGATCCAGAGGAGGAAACTGGCAGGAATAACTTTGCCAGTCTTGACTCTGAAGCACTGCAACCCTGCCGTCAAGCACAGAGTGCCTCAGCTTTCACTGCTTTGGGCGGTGGGCACCGAAGGTGAGAATTAGATGATGACTAATGTTAAAAATACCCCCGTTTGTAAGGCTTCGCAATACTGCTGATTTTGGTAAGAGGGCCTCAAAAGAAGGATCCAGGAGATGACACTGAGGGTGCTGGCATTTGTTGCTATCTTGGTTCATAGACTATGGCTGCTCTTGGAGGGAACAGTGACAGTGTGATGTGCCCAGTGGGGTTAGAGTGTGTGATGCTCGGCTCTGGCCAAATGATAGGGCGGCACTTGTGGATCCTCAGAAGCAGCCCAGAGAGGGGTTTGGGCAGCTAAAAACCAAACATTCATGCATGAGCTGAGCTTAGATGCTAATGTGTCTGGTGGGTAGCAAGACAAACCTGTCCTCTTTACTCTGTTGTCCATTCTTTGAGGATAGGTTCCTGGAACAAGCTTCACAGAGGGTGCTTGTGTGACAATAAACAGCTGTAAATCACCTTAAGGGTAGCACATTGGTCCAAAAGACACTTCTGTGCACCAGACTGATAGCTTTGCACAAACGTCTGAGGTGCTTCAGTCTAAATTAATCAGGGGTTTTCACCACTGCTTGTGAAGTGTGGAAGCACAAACACAATCTTTTCACCATGCCCTGGGCTGTGCAACAGAGAGCCAGATGAAAGCAAGTGAGAAGGAAGGTTCATCATAAACAGCCACAACAATAAGGCATAAAGTATAAAATAAAGCTGAGCCGATCCATGTGATGGGAAAGGGCAAGAGGAAAAGTGGTCAAACCTGAACATTGCCGGAAGCAGACTGAATTTTACAGAGCTGGAGGAAGCTGAAGAGTAGATATCTCCAAGCAGAGATAACAAGCAGCCAAAGAAGATGTGAAATACCAAAATCACAAGTACATGTGAGGGTGAAACCTTCTCCAGGAAAACTGAGGTGCCAGTAATAAATAGCTGCATATCTGAAAGTGCCTGATGTACCAACACAGCCGAAAATACCCCAGAATTACTAAAACTGTTGTGTAACTCAGCTCAGAATCAAGGCATGGGAAAATTTTGGTAACACATCAAGAAATGCAAACAAAGCAGTGAGATCTTCTCCCAGAAGAAAGTCCTGCTGATGGAGCCATCTGAATGAGGACAAAATCCTGAGAACATGCCACAGGGAATCATGCTGCTGATTTGAAATGGCATGGGGGCTCCCAGGGCTGTGATGGAGCTCTTCTCTCCATGCTCCTCAGGATGGGCTTGTGGCAGAGGTGCTGGGCTGGAGTCTGATCCCAGCAACATTCAGTATTGAGTGCAACTGGTTTCACTTGACTCCATGCCTGAGATCATCTCCTGTTATTAAAGTAAGATGGTCAGTCTTCCCAGTTTCTGTTCTTCTAGAAATTCTAGGATTTTAAGCATTCTTTTCCTTTGTAAAAAACAAGAGGAAATTCCTATTGAATGGTAAAAAAAAAAAAAAAATGGTTTAGGAAATCTCAGAACAATCTTACTGAAGTGTTAATGTAGTTCTGATTTTCCTATTTGGCTGTAAAGCGTAAATTTTGTGTGTCTTAGGCCGCCAAGATTAAAATACAGCACTCCAAAGAAAGCCATAGATAATTTTGATTACACTTCCACTGCCCAGATGCATTTTCTCCTGTGCTATTGAATCAGCAGTTTTTGATAGAGAATTTTCCACTGGCTCTAGTCAAAACTGGTCTGCCAGCTGGCAAAGCTACTGCTGCTGGCTCCAGCATCTGCATGGCCCTGCCAAGGGAAATGGGATGCTCCAGGGCAGCAGGTTTAGTGGCAGTGGCCAGTGCTGGGGCAGGCTGAGGCCTGGGCAGGGAGGAGGGCAGAAGAGTGTGAGGTTCGGGGATAGAGGCTTGGGGCATCAGGGCAGAAGGGAGGGGAACGGGAGAGGTTCTAAAGCATCAGTGAAGATGCACCCGAGTAAAGGAGGCTTGAGGAGAGGTTAAGAGTTGCCCACTTGGAAGAACCTGTTACTGGCAGAGGTCCCAAGTGTGGCAACTGGTGACAGAAGCAGCTGTGCAGAGCTGAGCCCTGCAAGCCGCTCTGGGTACAGGGAAAGGTGTCACTGCAGCCCCAAACCAAGGCAGTTTTGCAGGTGCTGGCTCTTGAGTTGTGCAGCAATTTCTCCCTGAAACCAAAGGAGGTAAGGGAGGAGTTCTGTGGTGAGAGACCTAATCGCACTGGTTTATCCAGGGTAGAAGAGGCAGGATCCCTCTCCTGGTCCTCGTGGGTTGAGCTACCCCCTTGCAGTATGGAGGTGTCGGGAGTGAGCCAGTCCCTGCAAGCTCTGCCCTCCAGAGCCTGGGAGTGGGAGGAGCTCATGGTCTGGAATGAGAGGATGATGGGTGGCAGCATCCTGCTGACTGCCGATCTAGCAAACCCATGTGTCAGACGGGCATGGAGGAGCGGGCGGAGAGAGGAAGCTCTGCACTTGTGAGAGTCCCTGCTCAGGCCCCTGTGGATTGGAGCCATCCGTGGCTACATCTCGGCAGTATGAAAGTGTAAATCACACTGTTTATCATGCAGAGGAGGTGACGTGTGGTGAAGCAGCCTGGCTGTAAAATCCCCTCTGACACACACAGAGTGCTTTCTGCTTCGAGAAGCTGGGATCAGAGCCACTGGGACCACCACCCCATCCACCCTAAACAGCTCCCTGTGGGGCCAGGCCACCCAACCTGCCCTGCAGCTCTGTCTCATGAGGCTTCCTTGCCGGGCAGCTCCCCTCTGCGATCTTGCCTTGCCAGCCGGACACAGCTACACTGCCTCAGCCCCATGGTCCCCACAGCAGAGCTGGGGGTCTGCCACCGTGCTCCCCACCGCAGCCCGAGCTCCCCCATGGCTACGGGCGGCGGGGACAAGAGAGGGTTAAGCTGTCAGCTCTGTAATGTTAAACAGGTGTCAAAGGCACCTCCATATATCTGCAGATGGAAATCAAATTCTTTGCAGTATAAAAAGATGAATTACCCAGGCGATTCCTGCCTCGTCCCACTCATCAGCACAGCGCCAGACGGCAAGCAATTTTTTTTTTTAATGTGCTAACGACCTAATCAAGCAATCAAGTTGGAGAAGATTGCGGAGTGACCCCGAGCATCCATCTGCCAGAAAGCCCCCGCCATCCGTTCCCACTCTGCCCTCTGCGTTCCGGGAAAGGCAGGGCGGAAAAAAACAGAAAATACAAAAAAAAAAATACCCCAATTCCTAAGCAAATTAACACCCAATTTTCTGAGAGTCTAATTAGTTAAATGAGGAGGTGTTCGGGGTGTCCGTGGGGAAGGAGGGGCTGCCTCTCCGAGAGGGCCTGGTAACTCCGTGGCATTAATTAGCGCAGGTCAATGGCGTGGTTCCCTGGGGACCAGCTGCTTTAATTTCCCGTGATATTTCAGTGCCTGAGGCCCATCGATTCAAACTGAAATTAACTTATTTTTCAATCAGGCCCGGGCTGCCCCTGGGGCTGACTCTTCCTTTGCCTCCTTCTGAATAGACCTCGAGCAATTTTTCATCTAAAGCTGATGCCTCTGCTCGGCAGGAAGGGAGGGGAGCTGGGGAGGGAGGAGGGTGAGGGAGACAAGAGGAATGGAAATCAGAGAGAGAGCGCGCTAATAGATTTCTGTGAGCATTCCCTCCCCGGCATCACCGCCCGCCTCTGCTCATTGCCCCCCAGGTCACAGCTCAGAGATTATTCTGCCAATTTTCTGAGAAGATGAGGGGCTTTTCAAACTGGGAATTCAGGGCGAAGCACACAGATCAGCTTCCCCCTTCTCCCACCTCTCCCGAGCGCTCACCCGCAACCCAGCCCTCCCTGCAGGCACCACTGCCCGCAGCCCTGCGCCGTAGCTCAAACACCCAGTATATAATGGAAGAAAATCCCAGGCACGAGAGCCAAAAGCTGCTAGAACATGCCAAATTACATCCTGCAGAGAAGGATGGGATCTGCTCTCAAGACTCCTGCAAGGGAGGGAGGGAGAGATACCCAATGGCTGCTGCGTGGTGGAAGAGGTCACAGTGCTTTTGGGATGAGCATCCCTGTGTCTGCCTGCACAAGCACACGTGTTCCCATGCAGGAAGGGGACTGACACATCTTCTCCCCCCACAAACCTATATTCCTTCTTGTTGCCTGCCCCAGGTTTGGTTCCAGAACCGCCGGGCCAAATGGCGGAAGAGGGAGAAGTGCTGGGGCAGAAGCAGTGTGATGGCTGAGTATGGGCTCTACGGTGCCATGGTGCGTCACTCCATCCCACTGCCCGAGTCCATCCTCAAGTCTGCCAAGGACGGCATCATGGAGTCCTGTGCCCCTTGGCTCCTGGGTAAGGAAGCAGCCGCCTTTGTGGGGGACTGTGAGTGGGTTCAGGCAAAGTGGGGGGGGGGGGGGGGGTGTGAAAGGAAGAAATTGGAGCCATGTCAAAAACATGAATGGAGGGTGGTACCCTCCAACCCCCCCCCCCCCCCCCCCAGCTGCCCTTGTCAGTGGGGTCTGAACACTCATCCCAAATCCCTTCTGTTCTTGAATCCTGACCTGCAGGGTTTTGCCGCCCATGCTCAGGCTGGTGTTAGCCTTTGACTCCCATGGTGTGAGCATCCCTTGTGGCCAGCCCTGGCAGGCCAAGGTGTCCAAAGCAAGCCATCCTGGTCTGATTTCCCCTGCCCCATGAGGCTGTGTTGGGTGCCAGGACAACACACACACACCCCCCCTCCCCCTTGACCCAGGCCCCAGGGGGAACACGCTGCTGCCTCCTCCTGCTCTCTGCACCTGGGGGAGCTGCATTTCTGCCTGGTTTCACTTGTTTTTCTGTGCAGACACGGAGGTAGCAGCTCCTCCCTCTTGCTCTTTGCTTGCCTCTTTCTGACCTTTCAGGCTTGTTCTGCCACAAAACGTGTCTGACATCTTGAATACAGGCTGTCTTGTCCTTCTATCTGTGGGAAACTGAGAGAGGCAGAGGGGTGGGCTGTGTGAGGAGCAGGTTGATACGGGACCATGGGCGATTGCCCTCCCCAGCCTCAGTGAACCTCAGGCAACCATGCTGCTGTCTGAGACCCGCCTTCCCATGTGGGGCAAGTTAGCTTTAGGTTCACAGGCAGAAATGAAGGGGAGAGTAATTATAAACCTTTGGGGGCATCTCTGAGGCCATGGATGTTGCTGGCAACCCCAGCAGGCAGCTGCCTTGCCTGGGCTGCTCTTGCGTGGGGGCCAGAGCGAGTGGCTGGCTGTGACTGCTGCATGAAGTGAGGGTTTCTGCTTTTCCTTAATTCTGGCCTCTCTTTATCTTTGCTGTTTTCAGTTCAAGATGGCTTTCCCATGCCCAGGCGCTTTTCTAAACCCGAATACCAACAATTCTTTTTAGGGATGCACAAAAAGTCTCTGGAGGCAGCGGCTGAGGCGGGGAGGAAGACGGAGGTGGAGCGCCAGGCCCTGCCCAAGCTTGACAAGGGTGACAAGGAGGAGAGGGGCCCGGATCCCAAAACCACCATTTCGCAGGAGGAACTGAGAGAAAACAGCATTGCCGCCCTCAGGGCCAAAGCTCAGGAGCACAGCACCAAAGTCCTGGGGACCATCGCCGGGGACACCCCGCCGCAGGGCAGGAAGCCGGAGGCAGGGGAGGAGGCAGCAGCGGCAGAGGATGAGAGACAGACGGAGAAGCTGAACTCGTCGCAGAAGGAGGAGAAGCTGATCTAGGAGGGGGAAAGAGGCGGTGGAAGCCAGCGCTGAGAGACACTGTGTCCTCAGGGGGCCGCATTCCCCCTCAGACTGACAGCTCCCCCGGCTGCCCCTGCCGGGGCGCGGGGCCCCAGTCCCTGCATTTGGGGCTGCCCGGCAGGGGTGCCCCCGCCTGCTCCCCCTGCCCTTCACTCCTCTGCCCCACTGGGCCTTCCTCACCTCCCCACCCTTCCTATGGGGCACTGGGAAGTGTCCCGTCTTTGTCGACACCCGAGTGGACACTGAGGCTCTGGTCCCTCTGGCCTCACAACCAGCTCTGGTGCTCTCTCCTTCTGTTGCAGCCCCAGACCCCATCTGTCATCTTGGAGTCAACCCTGTGCCCTGCCACTATGCCCCTCCTTGGTGCATGCCTCTCCCCAGTCTGCCTGGGCCCCTTCCCCTGGCACCCCATCCTGCCACGCCTCAGGCAGACTGCCACCTTCCACCAGCCATCACCTCTGCCTCCGGCCCAGCCCATAACAGGACAAGCCCATGGCAGTATTTGCATTAAACGGCGACTCTCCATCCAGGGTGATTTGCACCTTCTGCCTGTCTCTCCCTGCCTGGTCTGCTGGGAAGCAGTTGTAGCTTTAAAGCTCAGCTTTGCCACCATTTGGTAGGGAGAGGCAGGCTTAGCCCACTGGCACGACACCCTGGTCCCACCTAGCACCTCAAGGGGACTCCAGCCCATGTTTCTGGCTTTGGCAGGGCTAGCCACCAAGCCAGGTCTGACTGCCCCAAACGCCAAAGCCCTACACCCGTGCAGAGGGGCTGAACGGTGAATTTGTTTACTGAATACATTATTCCAGGTGAGACAACAACATCCGCCCAGTGTATTCATTGAATTAAATTTGTCCAGCTCGCCCTCCAAGTGTTAAAGGGAACGACAGCCATGCACATCCACCCTGATACACCCTGTAACGTGTACATACATCTCCCAGCCAGTCCCAGACAAGCATATGCAGACCCGCGTAGCCAAACCCACTCTGTGGGCCCGTCACCTTCCCATCCCGGTAAGGCACTGTTGTCCCCCCAAAAGCTGTAGGACAGTGACTTCCAGGCAACCCTTTCTGTCCTGCTTTCAGCTGTGAGCACCCTTTCCCCAGAGCTACTGTTTTATTTCTGTCAAAGGTTAAGCCCCTCCATCCAGTCCCTGTTTGTCTTTGTCCCCCGGTCGTTTGACGTGTTAGATGGTAGCCCATGGTGTGTAAATAATGTATATACAGCGAGAAAAGAATTCAGTATTGAGGTGTTTGAGATATGGAGCTGTAACAACTTATAGTCATCCAGCATCTGTGATTTATGTGCCATTTTCTGTAAAGATATGAACAAGAATAAAACTGAACGGGAATACTGTGTATGAGTCCAGTCACCAGTGTTTAAGGAGGGTGAATTCAGCCAAAGCTGAGACATGGCTGGACATCAGGACATAGCCAGAGAGAAGTGGGAGCTCCAAAGTGCCACAGAGAGGTCCTATGCCTCCCACCCAGGCATAGCATCTGATAAAAACGAGGTGTGTGGCCTAGGATGAGTGCCTGTGCACTGTATGGTGTTCATCCTGTTCACCAAACCTGTCAGGCCAGCAGACCATGAGTGGTGTTGCACTATGAACAGCAAAGAGGAGACCTGCTGATCCTCCCATCCCTGCTGTTGATCCCACTGAGAGGCCTGGCTGAGAACAGCTCTGCTTGCAGGGAGAGCCTTTTTTTGATCTTGTGTTGTACCCTTAGGAAGGGAGGGTACAACAGTGGTCAGTGAATGTAAGGAAACCTCCAAGCTCCGCCTTAAAAAGCTCTACCTATATAGGGCCTAAAGGAAAGGAAGGCAGAAAAATAGCTGTTTGGAGGCAGGGAGGCAGCTTAGCTCTGCTACAGTGGGTGGAGGGAGGTCTCAGCATGAAGAGATGGGCTGCAATGATTCATGCCAAACCACCTTTCAATGGCCTCACTGAGACCTTCCAGACGACCCTGTGGTACAGCTGGTCACTGGTCAGAAGTGTCTGGGAGGACACAGAGAGTCCAACCCAGCTTGCTGAGGGGACAGCTCTGGTAGGCACCCAGCAGTGAGGTGGGAAGGGATGGGATGGGATATCCCCTTCTGCAGCAGGCAGCCACAAGAGGAAACCCTTCATTGGCTCACTGGACACAGCACAGGGTATAGGGATGAGTAAAATGATGAGGGAGGTGATTGGAAGTGAAGCATCTGAGGATGCAGTGCAGATCTGGAAGAGTGGGATCAGGCTGATCTAGCCTGGCCCAGGCACTGTTTCCATAGGGAGCCCAGGCACTCGCTGAAGCTGACTCCCATTCAGGAGCAGCTGTCAGGACTCAGATTAGCATGAAGGTTATTTTCAGTCAAGTATTTCTACAGCCCACCTCCTTCCCCTCCCTGAAAGGAATTCCATTTATTTTTCCCTATAGTACTCTGGAAAAGAGGAGGTGAGGAACAAGGCAGGGGAGAAGGAGCACCTGAGCTTTGTGTGCAGTCAGCCCAGGGCAGCGTAGCCCCAGCTCCCACAGGGGACTGTCTTGCCTGGGTGGGTGTTCTGAGCGAGGGCTCCAGGCAACATCTCCTCAGTGAGAGGCAGGTGCCCTGCGATGATGGCCAGGCTGCTGGTCAGGGCTTGCTGCCACAAAATCCTTCCTCAGGCTCGCAGATAACCCCCTGGGTCAGCATCTGCCCAAGCCTGGAGCCACGGGCCCCTCATTACCTACATACCTGAACCTGTCACCTTTACCCAGCCATAACACACAGTGAGCCCAGGCTTGGACTGCCCCTGCACTGTCACACACAGCTCTGCCAGCAGGCCTGACACCCTCTGTGAGCACCACTGGCAGCATGTGTCCGAGGCAAGCAGGCAGCGAGGTTGCTCTTGTGCCCGTTATTTGTGGCACACAGCATGGCCAGGCTGCCAGCACAAAGACTGTTCATGAAGAGGTGAGCCCCTGCTGTGTGTTTCTATTAGCTCCCTGCAGCTGCACAGAGGTCTCCCCACCTCTGCTCATCCCATCTGCAAGCAATTAGTACTAGAAAGGTTTCCTGGAATACTTCTGTGCTGGTCAGAGCAGTGTAAAAATAGCTGCCTCTTACTCAGCACGTCTGCTCCGGCTCAGCAGGGTGTTTGCCAGCTCAGCAAGGCTAAAGAGAGTTCAGGCTTGTGAGCAGGGGGAGTGGAGGTGCAGAGACCAGGTAGATAGTATTGGGGGGGGGGGGGGCAGGGTGGCACAGGAGCTCAGTTCCAGGAGAGAGGTGTGCAAGCAGGAGTAGGGACAACACAGAGAAGCCTGTGAGACCCCGAGAGAGAACTGCTGTGCTCTCTCCTGCAAGGAGATGATGAAGGAGAGCCTGCTCTCATGGACAGTGAGGTCATGTTGCTCCTTCTCTACACATCTGGCAATACTGACAAACCCATGGGTCTGGTTCATTCCCAAGCTGGTTACTTGCTGTTTGTTGCTCTCACACACAAGGTAATGGATCCCAGCCACAGAGTACCCATGAGCCAGCACTTTATAGGCAGTGCAGGGAACAGATGTGCTGCCTTAATTGCACCATGATCTCATCTATCCAGAACAAAGTCTTCGCAAAGCCCTGCTGGGGCATCAGCCCAGTAGAGCTCATCTGCCTACAGGTAGTGCGGAAGAGCAACACGTTCTGGAGCAGGACATCCCAAACTCATGCTCCTCTGAGATACCTTCTTGGCTTTCTTTTTTCTTTCACTGCCCTATCCTAAACTGAATCATTGGGTGGAATGCTCAGCCTAGCAAGGGAAATTTTATATTAGAGGATGAGGAAGCAGCAGCTAAATTGCTTCTAAAACCTCCAGCTTGCTTTCTCTACGTGTAACTACCCCACCTCAGGCAGATTGAAGACAATGCTCTGGGAGGAGTGCACTTTAAGATAGCTGTAAAAGCTGGTGAGTGCCCTCAAGACAATAACCCTTAGCATGCCCAAAGCAAACTCTAACAGTGCTGGATGAAAGGGCACTGAGCACAGCATGGAGGTAGACTTTGCTGTAGGAAGGGTTGCAAGGGACACCCCCTTGTTATACGGAGTCCTCTGGAGGAAGTTCCTCTCTGAACAGTCCCTTAGCTTTGGGTCTGGCTCTCCCTGTGTGTGACTGAAGTTCCAGTAGCTCCTCAGACCATGCCCCCTGTGAGACAACAAGCTGGGGTCTTCCCTGTCAGCCATGGGTGCTAGAGGCCAGACCTCCCAAGGCACGTGTGGAAACCTTTAGTTCTGCTGTGAGCTAAGCTGTCTGTACAGCTGTGTCCAGCATGTCTGATGCTCTCCAGACCACCAAGGCTGGTTTGCAAGAGCCAGGGCTACCACCCAGAATGGCAATGCAGGAGTGAGCAGCATGTAGCCATGTTAGGACTCAGGAGTTGTGGAAACTGCAACACAGGACTGGCACAGTCAGATCTCTCAGTTGGATGGGCACACAGCTGCTGCCATAATTCACTGTTCATTTAAAAAGAGAAAGAGCAAGCAGGGGAAGTTTCCATTATGAGTACCCTGGAGCAGTTGAGGCCCCAGAGTCCGCAGCTGGCAGCCTGCAGATAGCGAGCTGCAGGAAGAGATGGGAAGATCTAAAACAACAGCTGCCAGAGCAGAAGCTGGTAAGTGTTGGGCTAGTGGGAGACCATCCCCTGGGGAGCTTTCCTGGCTCAAAGTAAAGGAAATGAAGCACAGTGCTTGAGAAAGCTGGACATACTACTGCCAGGCTTATGGCAATCAGTTCTGCCTGCCTCACGCTTCAGCCTTGCAGCCAAGGGTCTCCTGAGGAATACATGGGTCAGCAGGGAGAAGAGCTTGTTCTGCTGCCTGCTTGTGCTCTCCCAGCTGAGGCAGGGAGGTGCCAAGTCCTTCAAGCTGGGGTGGCTCTGGGCCGAGGCATCTCATAGTCCCTCTTGCTTGCTGCCTCAGTGCTCCTGCAATAGTCTCCTTGCTGACCTCAGAGTTTTCCTGAGTGTTTATTGTGTGTTTGGAGCCCACCAGAGCCAGGGGTGGCTCATGGAGGAGCCTACATTGTGCTTGCCTACAGGTTCTCTCCTTCCATCTGGTCATGTAGCAGGGGGACGAACCTCACCCTGAAAGTTCTCCTGTTTTGATGCCACAGGATACTTGGATCAGCTATGGATTACTTAAGAGAGCTACAGCCTTTCCTTCCTTCTGTCCACCTTCCCCCAGGCACATGCAGCATACACTTGATGCCAGAAGTGGAGATCTGTAAGCCCATCTTTCCTACTCACCTCTGCTAGATGGCAACCTTCTTTATTGGAAAGGCACTTACAGTGAAGCTGTTCTTCCAGCTACTGCAGGAATTGTTTTCTAGCTTG